TGTTGCTGCTGCTGGTGCTGTTGTTGTTGTTGCTGTTGCTGCTGCTGCTGCTGCTGCTGGTGCTGTTGCTGTTGCTGTTGCTGTTGCTGTTGCTGTTGCTGTTGCTGTTGCTGTTGCTGTGGCTGTTGCTGCGGCTGTTGTTGTTGTTGTCGTTGTTGTTGCTGCCGCTGTTCGTCTTCTTGTCCTTGCTGCCGTGCTTCTTTTGCTGCTTCGTTTGGTTTCCCCTTGCTTCGTGTACTCGCTAACCACCTTAAGTTCTAATCCCTCATAGCTAAGTAAGTCTATGTATGCCTTGCGGGAGAGCTTAAGATCAAGAAGCACCCCATGGCCACAAGGATCCTTGCCGTTCACGAAGAGCACCGGAGTCCCCGAAACCCAACATCCTGAATCCTTGAAGCCTATAGAACCCGAAACCCTGAATTCCAAGCACTGGCGGTGATCAGCAAATGCAAAAGCCGGTGGCCCAAACCCGAAGCAATAACCGTGAAGCAGGCCTTTGCTCAGGGCCCATCTGTCGTTGTATCTCTGTGTCTATGTCTGTCCATGGGTCTCAGTTTGTGACCGTGTCTCTGTGTGTCATAGTGTGTTTGTGTATGCGTTGTGTGCCAGAGTATCTGTGTGTGCATATGTGTGTATATATATAGATATATATATATATATGTATATATATATATATATGTATATATATATATATGTGTGTGTGTGCGCTTCTCTCTCTCTTTCTCTCTCTCTCAGGGCCGCTGTTTGAGCGTGTACACGTGTGTGTCTGTGTGTGTCTCTGTGTCTCTGTGTCCGTGTGTGTGTGTGTGTGTGTTTGTTGGTGTCTGTGTTTGTCTGTGTGCGTGTGTGTGTGTGTGTCTCTGTTGCTGTGTCTCTGTGTGTGTGTGTGTGCGCGTGTCTTTGTCTGCACATGCGTGTCTTGCTGGCTACGTCCGTGTTTGTATGTTCTCATTGCTGGCTGTGTGTGTGTGTGTGTGCCTCACTGCGTGTCTCTGTAGGACTTTGTGTTAATCTTTATGGTGCTGGTGCTGGTGCTGTTGTGTCTGTGTCTGACTGTGTGTATATGTACAGATAATGTGTATATGTTTGAAAGGTATGTATGTATGCATGCATGCATACGCTGACCTGTGTGCGTCCGTATGTGCATGTGCGTGTGTTTGCGTGTCTCTGCTTGTGTGCCTATGCTTGGGGATCTGCTCGTCTGCGCTCAGGAGATGGACCCGTCCTGCAGGCAGTTCATTTGCGACCACCACAAGTGGATCAATGACTGGGCAGCCGTGCCCAAAGGCATGCCACACATCTTCGGAAATATGCTTTCCCAGTCCGCTGCATGTGACGATGACATGCAGCAGCTCTCTCGGCGCAGCTTCGCCGAGAAATGCGATGTCATCCGTCAAGCCCCCTTGCGCGAGAAGAGGTTTTGCTTCACTCATGGAATGGACTGTTCCATTCTGCAGCCAGTGGACGTAGACTTTTCAGGACTGCCCTGCCAAGACAACTCCAGGGCGAACCATCGCAGACGATTCCAGAACGGCTCTCGCGCGGAATGCTACATCATCTGGGCTAAGAAGCACCAAGCCTTGGGGACGAAGCTGTTGATACTGGAGAACACGCCTGAGCCTAGACTCGTGCAGAAGTTTTTGTTGTATTGAGACAAGGCACTACCGGCCTTGTTATCTAGCGTTTTGGCACTTGTCAGGACATCCAGATGTCCATGCTCGAGACCCTGTTCGGCTCAGGCTACCAGATGGAGCAGCTTTTCGTGGACCCTGCCGACCTGGGGCACACGGCGGTTGCCCGTCACCGGACGTACATCTACATTTGGCCCAAGCACCTGACAGAGTACCTCCACGATGTGCATGAGTTGTATGCAAAGATTTCACAGAAGATTGGCAAAGTCGTTCGCACCCGTGCTAGCGACTACATGGTCACGGGCGTTTTCCCGCGGATGCTGCAGGAGCTGGAGCTCTGCTACCGCCGCAGCATCGGATACCGCAAGGACGGGTTGCGAGCGCCCGTGCTACTGTTTGTTCACAGTTCTCCGCGCTGTCCGGGTTTGCTGTTTCCGGATAGAACCAGTCGACATAGCACAGTACAGATGCAGATATATAGACCAGTCAATTATATAGGAAGATATATGGATAGATAGCTGTATAGATAAAAGGACAAACAAAATCTGTAACAGATATCTGTAGTGTATGCTGTATCCGTATGCACATATGCATATGTATAATATACATATCTTCTGCTTAGTTCTCTCAGTCTCGCAGGCAATCTTTGTTTCTCTCTCTCTCTCTCTCTGTCTCTAGCTCTGTCTGGCTGTCTCTTTCGCTCCCTCTCTCCCTTTCTCTCTCGCAGACTCGGGGCGGTCCGGGTTTAGGGCCCTTGTTCTAGGTGTTGGTATCCGCTGTCGCGTCCTGTGGGCTTACATAGGTGGTTTGCAGGTGTGGGGCTCGCAGGTCCATGCAGGGCTCGTTGACTTTCGATTCTTCGTCTTGCAGTGTGTGCCACTGTCAGAAGCAGGGCCAAGAGGATAGGCCATCAAGTGTGTAGCTTTTGCTGGTTGAACTATCATTGACGTGGCTCAGGACTCCAACGGCAGCATGCGCTACCTCTTGACACCTCGAGAGGAGGAGACACTGCGGTCTCTGGACACAAGCTACATCGAGCGATTTGGGCGGCATCCTGCCAGTGATGCGGATCTGTTTTACTGCCTAGGAGACAATGCCAGCTTTTCCAAGACATGGTCGGCAGTGTCTGGCAAGCTGCCAACCTTTCGCCGGTCGGGGGGGGTCATGCTCCAGCGCTCCACTGAAACAGTGATGTCCGGATGTGACAAGCTAGCTGCTCTCGGGTGGCCGGTCACGCCGGAGCAGGCTCTCAACATGGGCTGCTCCCAGATGCCGTGCAGAGACCCGAGACGGGCTGACCAAGTGGCCGGAAATGCTATGCATCTTTCGAACGCAGCGCTCATTTTGCTGCTGGGTTTAGCTTGCTTCGGCCCGGTGCGCTGAACTTTGCTGCTCAGCACCGACGCAAGACGCAAACGCTCCGTGTCCCAGGAAAGCTGCCCTGAGTTGTGTGTCTGTGCAGCGAGGTTCTGCATGCTCTTTTGCTTGCTGCAGTAGCACTTTGCCCATGTCTTGTGTTTGTTATTCTGAGCTTCGGCACGCAGACACTCTTTGCGGGCTCGAGATCTCAGGCTTCTGAAGCTGAAAGGAACAAGTGCAGCATGGCGCCCAAGCCTACTTTTCCGACAGTGAGGCCGTCGGTGGCGAAGACTGCCGCCGCAGCAAAGGCGCCGATGCTCCCTCCACCCAAGGCCAAGGCCCCAGCAGCCCCGGCGACTGCGGCGCTGGTGCCCTACGTGCCAGCCGCTAAGCCGGCAGCACCAGCGCGAGCAACTCAGTCCTTCATCTTGCCAGCGCAGAAATACAGTCTAGAGGCCCGAGACAACCATGTTTCGTTTTAAACAATTTCACCCGAGGCCGAAGGCTAGCAATCCCTTCACTGCCGCGGAGTTCATTGCGGATGTTTCGGCTGATGGCGGCGGTGGCGCTGCGCGGGCAGCAGCCGCCGCGTTCCACGTGGAAGCTGCGCCCAAGTCTCGTGGCCAGAAGATCAAGCTGTCGAGCTCTGGCGGTGCGGCCAAGGAGAAGTCTGCCAAGTACAGCACGAGCTACCAGACCTTCGGCAACTTCCCTGACGCAGCCTCAGCTGTCCTTCTGAGGACCAGTGACCCGAGCTCGGCAGTGCTTCTCTTGCCTGAGTATGTCCAGCCACTCCCAGGCACAGCACATCGCCGAGTGGCTGTACCTCCTCACGGAGGGTCGGTACACCGTCTTGCAGCTGAGCAAGTGTTCCAAGCAGCAGCTCTTGTCGCTTCTCTACGTAGCCACAGAAACCCTTCCAACCGACAAGCCACCCACGTCGCTGGTCTTGATGTGTTGCATCCTCGACCGCTTCTAGCGTTGAGGATGCATCGTTTTGAATCCTAAGTTGTGCTGTTAGTGCAGTTGTGTTTTTTTTATTGGGTTCTGCGGTTTTTCCTGTGTGCAGCCACAATGTAGAGGTTCAACAAGGATGCATTGATCGCCGCCTTGATGGAGCAGTACGAGGCGTCTGGTAGACGCTTGCACAAGGAAGCCACGCCGGAAATGCTTGACCCAGTGGAAGCATCTGCGCTCGTGGGGCAGCACTTCGACCACGGAGAACTGGGCCCTTGCCCTTGACTGGCGGCGGCGGCAAGACGACCTCGGACCCCGCGGTTGCGTCCTTCTTCACCGTCACCAACACGGTCTCGGACGGCAGCTGGCACATGGTTGCCCACGGGTCGAATGGAGCAGCCCTTGGGCAGGTTGCCTTGCCGCCCTTGTCGGACGGAGGCTTCTATCAGGTGGTGCTGCACGAGGAAGCCTTTTACGTGTGGTCTGGCGGTGATGAGGAAGCTCTGCACTGTCAAGAGTACTTTGACAACGCACAGGCCCTGGCGGGCGCAGGCAGCAGCACCGGCGGTGCACTCGCGACGAGCACGTGTGCCGGGGTCGCTGCCAAGTCACCGGCCTTTCCGGGGATGGTGACAGGCCAGTGTCCGGACTGCTGTCATTCCAGTGCAATGTTCTTGTGTTCCTGCATCTACATATTGCAAGCCGTGTAGTGCAGGCGGCCCGCGACTCCCAGCTGACGATGAGGACTGGTGCTTCTGCACGTGCCGCAGCCGGATTGCAAGACCAACCACACTGAGTGACCCATTGCATTGCACAGGACGACTTCACTGATGAGGAAGGGAGCACTGGCAACCCTGCTCCGAACCTTCCGCAGATCCAGGACCTCCCCGATGGAACCCAGCTCCTTGTTTTTGAAGGGCGCGAGCTCGTTCTTCCAAGCCGCGTGCGCTTCGTGCTGCAGCGAGACCCAGCAAGCGGCGACTTCTTTGTGGACTCCGAGACCAAGGACGCGTCGGTGAAGCCCAAGTGGGTTAAGAACTTGCTGCAGTCCAAGAAAGCCCGCGTGTCGCTTGGAGGCACCTCTGCCCCATCACACCAGGCCGCGCGTGCCTAGATTTCCAGCTTTAGTTTGCAGCTTTTAGGTCCTGCCTGCTCAGATAGTGTAAGCCTAGCAGGACACACAGGCAGGGTCGCTCAAAGAGCTTCTAAAAGGCTTTTCGATGCATTTCGAAGGGTTTCGAAAGGTTTCGAGCGATTTCGAGAGATTTTGAGCAGGCAAACTGCCTCAAAATCTCTCGGATTTTCTCGATCCCGTTCGAGAGCGCGCCCGCCCAAAAAGCCTCAAATCGTGCCCCCCCCCCTCCCCCCCGCCCTCCAGAAGCTGCCCTCGAAAACCCACCCACCCCACCCCACCCCTCCCACCCCACCCACCCCACCCACCCACCACCCACCCCCCACACCCACACCCACACCCACGCCCAGACCCACGCCCACAGCCACAGCCACACCCACACACCCACACCCACACCCNNCCCACACCCCCACACCCCACCCACCCCAGCCACACCCACACCCAAACCCACACACGCACACACCCACACCCACTACACCATCGCAAGACCCACAGTCGCCTGCTCACCCCCCACCCGCCCCACACCCACCCCACCCACCCATGGTGAGATTGAAGAAATTTTATTCAATAGTTTTATTGATGGAGAAATATATAAAATATGTCTAAATTAATTGAATTTCTAAATATTAGAGAAATAATAAATACCCACAGCCCAGGTCCACTCCGGCACCTCCGTCTCCTGCATCCAACACAGCGCCGCCAACGAGCCTTCCTTCTACGGCCGCCACGATGGAAGCGGCCGTTGCCACAGATCCACCCGCCGAGGTCGCAGCAACTGTGCTCGCTAAGGCCAAGGCAGCCGGGGAACCCACGCCCGCCCCAAAGGAAGCAGCACCCACTCCTAAGGCTGTGGAACCGCAGAGCGCACCCACTCCTAAGGCTGTGGAACCGCAGAGCGCACCCACTCCCAAAGCCGTGGAACCGAAGAGCGGTTTGCGCAAGAAGCCGACTGTCTGAGTCAGAATGATTCAGAGATCGAGGATCCGCCGGCCATCTGTGGATTCAGTAGCATCAGTCCCGCATGAGGTTGCAACGAGCCTTCGTGCCCTGGGGTGTTTCTAAGTTGCAGCTAGGTACGTTGTCCGTTTGTTGTTGTACCTTTCACGAAGGTGACCAGTGTTTCGGAGGGGCTCTCGTGGAGCCCGCCCTGCCGGCTGAGACAGTTCCTTTTTTTGATAGGCATCTGACGGACCAGGTGTGGCATCTGCATTGCTGCTTATAGCGGAGCGTTGCTGTTAGAGACAGATAGGGAACTGTGGCATCTGCATTGCTGCATATAGCGGAGCGTTGCTGGTAGAGACAGATAGGGAACTACGTGCAGTGTGTAGGGAAATGCAGCTGTTGGAAAGAACACAGGTCCGCGTGCCATCGTGCCAGAGCTTCCTTGATGGCTGCAGCTCTTGTTAGAAAACTGGGTACGTTATAGTAGGTCTCGTTTTAGTTATGTGTAGATGACACAGCATTGTTCACTTGCAAGTAGTATATGTCCCAGACACAGAAGGATCAGGCACGCGGCCATCTTGAAGCCTCGCTACTGCTGCGAGCTACGTGAGAAAGACCTGTAGCCCCTGTAGCTGCAAGGGACGGGGTCGTGCGTTTCCGTGCTGCAGTTAAGGTCATCGACCCCTTCGCCCTGCATCGCGAGAGCCACTTTGCGAGGCTGTTCAGGCCAGGACGGGGTCTGTGTTGAGTGTCTCTGGCTTGTAAGAAGTACGATTTGTTGCGGGTGTCTGGGGGTCCCCAAGTGCTAAGAAGTACGATTTGTTGCCGGTGGTTGGCGGTGTCTGGGGCTCGAACTAGTACCCAAGTGCTGAGAAGTA